CTTCCTTCCTTCCTTCCTTCCGTGCTTTTTTCTTTTTTTTCTTTTCTGTCAGCTGTATCTGCGACAACCAACTGAATCCCAAACAAAAATGTTGGGACAGTAATTACTAAACAACAAATCATCTTTATTTAATTATCTGAATAAACTCATTCAGTTTGTTTGAGCAATCTTTGTAAGCATCTGCAGTAGCTAAGATACACTTTTTAATTAATTAATTAATTAACTAGAAGCTACTACGTCAGTGTACAGTGGAAGAGTTGGAAAGGAGTTTGAATCGGAAAGGAGTTTGATTCGCTTCATTATATTTATATACACTTATTTCAATAAAGTTAGTAGTCGCCTGAAAATCTACAAAGCTGAGACCAACAAGGATTATGGGTAGTTACATTTTACATGTTTCAACCGCTTTAATAACTGTTGATGGATTTTAGATCTTTTACCAGTTACAGTCTCACCTCTTCTGAGCATCCTAAAGCTGCAAATTGTATCAAAAGCTTTACTTGTTTGATATTAAAAGTTTCCCATGATCCTCAGTGATTTCAGCTTTCTAGGTTTTTTGGTGACTTACTTTATAGAAATAAGTGTATATACCTAATTTATACACGAACTTTGTCATAAAAATGAAAAATAACAATTAGAGACGTCGAAACGTCAAATCTCTTGGATTATTTTCATTGGCAAATGTCTTAATAAGGGTTTATTACTTAAAATTAGAAATTTATTTGAAATATTCATTTTAATTTGGACAAGCCATATTTTTAATATATCAAAGTTCTTGCAATTTTTTTGCAACTATCGCTATAACAGTTATTCTCATCAATCTAGGGGAATTTAGAATCAAAATATAAAGTATTCTAAATTAATTTCAACGTTATTGCAAATTAGGTGTATGCACAATGTATCTATAAATCAAAGAATCTTTCTCTCAAGAGAGCAAACAAGACACTTGACTTGTTTATCTTTCATTAGTGTATTTACATTAATTGACAACTTGTAGTATAGTAACCTCTAGGTGCTACAAGGAATTTAAGAGTACCTGCACAACGGTCCCGGGGGGGAGGGGGGGTAATCCCCTATATTTGCTATACGGGTACGTGCCGCGGTATGGTTTTCAGCGATTCTACTCTGGAACAGGGTATATAAAATCGCGCTCGCTCTGAGACAGGGTATATAAAATCACGCTCTCTCCTCTCTGGAACAGGGTATCTATTTTC